AAAAGATGATTCTGAAGCTCTTTTAACGCCGTACAGCGTGGAAATGAGCGCTTTCTGTGCGTTTTATCGAGGAACATGGCCAATATTCCCCACACATTTGGAGACAAACACGATTTTAAACACAGTTGTTACATTTATCCTGCTGTTATACAGACATTTGTTTGTTTAAAAAGGCCTAATGTGTTATAGATGCTCTCGACCTGGGAGGGAAACATGGGAGAGTTCAAGCAAACACAGTATTTGGGTTGTTTTTTACTCAATACGCAGCACAAACCTTTAAAAAACATCCAGTTTCTAATTCAACAGACTATTCTGAAGCTCTTTTAACGGAAATTGGCGCTTTCTGTGCGTTTTATGCAGCAAAATGGCCCATTTTCCCAACACATTTGGAGACAAACACGATTTTAAACATTTGTTTGTTTAAAAAGGCCTAATGTGTTCAGGTGCTCTCGACCTGGGAGGGAGACATGTGAGAGTTCAACCAAACACAATATTTGGGTTGTTTTTGACTTATTACGCAGCACAAACATTTAAAAAACCCTCAGTTTCTAATTAAAAGGATGATTCTGAAGCGCTTTCTGTGCGTTTTATGAAGCAAAATGGCCAATTTTCCCAACACATTTGGAGACAAAACACGTTTATTCTTAAGTCTGTTTGTTTAAAAAGGCCTAATGTGTTATAGGTGCTCTCGACCTGGGAGGTGGAGACATGTGAGAGTTCAACTAAACACACTATTTGGGTTGTTTTTTATTCAATACGCAATGCAAACCTTTAAAAAAACATCCAGTTTCTCATTAAAAAGATGATTCTGAAGCTCTTTAAACGCCACACAGGGTGGAAATTAGCGCTTTCTGTGCGTTCTAACGAGCAAAATGGCCAATTTTCCCAACACATTTGGAGACAAACACGATTTTAAACATTTGTTTGTTTAAGAAGGCCTAATGTGTTATAGATGCTCTCGACCTGGGAGGTGGAGATGTGTGAGAGTTCAAGCAAACGCAGTATTTGGGTTGTTTTTGACTCCTTACGCATAATAAACCTTTAAAAAACATCCAGTTTCTAATTAAAAAGATGATTCTGAAGCTCTTTAAACGCCGTACAGGGTGGAAATGAACGCTTTCTGTGCGTTTTATAAAGCAAAATGGCCCATTTCCCCAAAACATTTGGAGACAAACACGATTTTAAACACACGGACAGTTGTTGCGTTTATTCATATAGGTTCGAAAGACACTTGTTTGTTTAAAAAGGCCTAATATATTATAGATGCTCTCGACCTTGGAGGGGTGGGAGCAGGAGACACGTGAGAGTTCAACCAAACATTTGGCTCATTTTTGACTCCTTACGCAGCACAAACCTTTAAAAAACCCTCATTTTCTAATTCAACAGCTGATTCTGAAGCTCTTTAAACACCGTACAGGGTGGAAATTTGCGCTTTCTGTGCGTTTTATGAAACAAAATGGCCAATTTCCCAACACATTTGGAGTCAAACACGATTTTAAACACACACCGTGGACAGTTGTTGCATTTATCCTGCTGTTCGACAGACATTTGTTCATTTAAAAAGGCCTTAATGTGTCTTTTCTGTTAAGTCAACCCTCACCAAACCTATAGCGCGTAACAGTAGGCCAGAGGGGCTGAATCTGACAGCCGCCGTGCACGGAACCACGCACTTTTTTACCGACTTCTATCCCTGCAAACATTAATGCTCCATTTTCCTTTTCCTGATCTTCCACACATTCCCAAACAGCGGTGTCCTCATTAGAAGTCAAACCAAAAGAATCAGCGCATTTTACGCTTTTTTCGCTTTTTTCGCCTCCTAAAAAACATCTCAACACTCCAGGAAATTGAATATTCTCGAAAATATAAATATAAAAAAGGCTTTTATACCTTCTGCTGCCTGGATAACGCTGACTTCCAGCCCCTTGAAGGTTTTACTGGCCAATATCTCCCTGCAAACATTAATGCTCCATTTTCCTTTTCCTTATCCCTGCACACATTCCCAAACAGCTGTGTCCTCATTAGAAGTCAAACTAAAGAATCAAACAAACATTAATGCTCCATTTTCCTTTTCCTGATCCTTGCACACATTCCCAAACAACTGTGTCCTCATTAGAAGTCAAACCGAAAGAATCAATAGCGCTTTTTTCGCATTTTACGCTTTTTTCGCCTCCTTAAAAAAACCATCTCAACACTCCAGGAAATTGAACATTGTCGAAAACAATAACAATAACAATAATAATAAAGGCTCGTGTACCTTCCGCTGCCTGGATAACGCTGACCTCCAGCCCCTTGAAGGTTTTGCTGGCCAGTTCCTCCAGGGCGCACAGCGGGGAGGACGGCGAACTGATGCCGTTCCGGGGCGTCCCTGGGGCGGACACTTTCTCCAGCAGCGCCCGGGGGGGACGGATCCCGGCCGCCTGCTTCTTCACGCTCGGCTTGTTGAGGATATCCTCGATGCTGAACGGGGTCAGGGGCTTGTTGGAGTTGGCCGGAGGGGGTAGCTGGTCCAACGGAGCCCGTCTGCGCTCCTCCCCGCTTTGACACTGGAGCGCGGAACCAGCCTTCAAATCTTTACCGGAGGTCATCGCAAGTCTCCCCCCAAAAGGAAATCAGAAATCCCCCGAAAACAATCGCTTATCCCAGAAAAAAAGTTGGTTATTTCATTCAAATGGCCGATTCGAGTTTCCCCCTCTCCCGGTTTTTTTTCCCGACTCTCGGAGGCGAATGCTGCAGTTTAGCTCTGCAACTGAGAGCCTCCCTCCGAAATAACAACCATGTTCAGTTTTTAGACTGTATTCCCCTCAGAGCGTCCCAGGTCCTCTGCGTAGCTCCATGGGAGATATTTTTGGGGAAAAGGGAACGGAGTGGAAAGCGGCTGAATTCCTGGGCTATAGGAGGAAAAAGCCTTCCGGAGCTCCGAGAAAAAGAAAAAGCGACTGCTAACGAGTTCTTGTTGATTGGGCGAAGTTCAATTAGAGAAACACTACACCAGTCGGTGACCCTCTGCTGCGTCTTAAAGGGCCGGAGCAAAATAACTAATTGGACGTGGGGAATAGGAGGAGTCTGTCTCTGCACCCCCCAAAATGTTTATGCAGTTGTTTCCCTCTGCTGGCGTGTTCCTGCAGAAAGGGAGAGTAGGTGAGGAGTTTAAAAAACACTCACATATTTAGGGGAAACTTTGGATAAAAGGGGGGAAACTTGACTGGAGACGTGGAGTCATTTTCGTGCGTAATTACGCATGAAGCGTTTGGTTTACAGCACCGCGTTTAACACCAGAGTTTAGGGTTTCTGCCCACGGGCAAACAGAAGCCCTCCACGGTAACAACACAATATACGCATATGTTAGGTTCTGGTTATTTTTTATGGCAAATTACAAACCAGTAATTTAATGTAAGCAACAAGGAAACGTTGGTCACGTGGCTCTGATTTATTTTTACGCAGATTAAATAGGCAGGCCCTTATTATACATCATATCAACAACTAAAATAAGCATGTTCTACATAAACTATATATACATATATACATATATACATATATATATATATATATATATATCAACAACAACTAAAATAAGCATGTTCTATATAAACTGTATATATACGGTTTATATATATATATTGTATTGTATTGTGGATGCCTTCTGTATATATATCAACAACTAAAATAAGCATGTTCTATATAAACTATATTTATATATATATACAGTTTATATAGAACATGCCTATTTTAGTATATATATGTATATATATATATATGCAGTTTATATAATGCTTATTTTAGTTGTTGTTGTTGATACATATATATATATATGTATATTTGTTTGTTTGTTTGTGTTTGTGTGTGCATTGGGATTCAAATAACAAATAGTCAAAAAGTTAAAAAACACTTTCAGTTTCAGGTGTCATTTCTATTCTTTCTGGATGTTTGAACGTGCTTGTTTTATGTTTGATTATTCTGCTTTGCTCCGGTGCTCTAACGTCTCCCTGCAGGTAAAATCCGGATCCAGAGTAAAATAAAGCTGCAGAATAAAGGGAGCAAACAGTAGAGATAAAGCCGGGCTGCGGATCACTGGAGAACCAGAATCTTCCTGAAGGAGTTTTAAAATACAAAGCGAAAAAAAAGGGATTAGAGACAGAAACGAGCTGGATGCGCAGGTAGGTCTGATCCAGCCTGTTTTATCAAAAGATCCTAAAAAAACGCATTTAATTATTTATACGGCACTTTGGTCACTTGTTCGTTATCAGAAAATTAATGGATTTTTACAAGAAAATTAATGGATTAACAGAGAGAATGGAGAGAATTAACATTTAGGAAGATTTAAAAAAAAAACAAGATTACTGCATGTTTTATCATTTTCTTTAATCCAAAATGCCACAAAATCTCAGTTTTTTTACTGTTTAGCATCAGATAAATGATCTTTATTCAGCGTATATTTACAGAAACAAAGGGGGAAACGCGTAAATGTGGACCCCGGTGTTTCTGTGGCCCTGTGGGGGGGGAAACCTCCGCGTGCCAGCGGCATGCAGCATATGGTGACATTGGTTTAGGGACAGAGCTGTAAAACAGCAGGAAATTCTATTACCAGCCAAGGAGGTCCGTCCTCTGAACGCGTTTTTCTGCATATTTTCTCCATAACGAGCCGGGCTGATCCGGTTAGGGGCTCCGGACAGAAGCACGCGCCCCTCTGGAAAAGGTTCAGCACGGGGAAATGATGTTAATATCACCGTGAGGCTAATTTATCCCGACACTGTTAGACTTTAGTCCAAAATTAATTAGAAAATGAAGAAGGAGTCGAGTCTAGAGACGCTGGATTTGTTCAATTTATCATTAAATGTAAATCTAAATGTAGTAAATGTAAATATATATAAAAGAAACTCTTTATATGAGGGAAATCTGTAATTTAATTAGAACATATCCACATTTCTGTATCTCCATTTGCCTGTACACAGGTTATATGACAGGGGTTTTTTTTTTTACACGTTGGCCCTGAAGGCCTCTTCTGTTTTAAGTAAAAAAAAAAGACCTCACACACCTTTATTTCAGCCAATAAACCCCCCCAAAAAACAGCTCAATGGGCTTTAAAATCTCTTATTTTGCCCGTTCAGGTTTCGGCTCATATTAAACGTTAATTATAAAGGATGACGTCATCAATCATCAGCTGCTGGGGGGTTTTAATTGGACGATTCGTTTCGGTTTTCACACCTATCGAAACGGCCTCATTTCCCCAAAATGTAACCCCCAGTATACCCCCAAATTAAACCCCGTTTGGCGTTTTTTCTGTTTAAGAAAAAGCAGCTTTCAGGCGCGTGCAGAGCTCGAGGTGTGCGCGTGATAAAATCCAAAAAACACAAACAAAACCAAACAAAATCCACCTGGTTATGAGCCCATTTTTTATCTGAGACCCCGAGCCTTAATTTTTAAGGTTCCAGCTCATCTTTATCCGGATTTAAAATCACTCCACTGGGTTTTATTTTAATTAATTCAGAAAAAAAGATGGACTTCTTTCCTACATTTTTCGATGTGGATAAAGTCACCCAGAATAAAAGAAGCTATTTAATATTAAAGATTATATAATACTAACCACCCTGGAGTGGTTTTGTACATTTTATGTTCCTCTTTTATCAATAAGCTCTTTATCTAAAATTATAAACCCCAAATAAAGAGCTGAAATAAGCATTTATTTTGTTGTTGTTTCAGATAATACAAA